AAAAAATGAAAGAGTTGTCGATTGTCTCAGAGCTCCAGAGGACAACTTTCTTTGCCCAAAACATCAGCCTGCGTTATGTTTGCAATTTTAAGGCAGTGTTAATGATCGATTAATGCTGGGAGGTTTTTTTTCTCTTCGCTCGTTCCACTGTGAAAGTCGATCCGATGCCGCTGCGAGTTTACCATCGTAAAATCGACCACGTGTTCCATTCTTTGAAACCGCGCAGAGCTGCTTTACAGACGCCGGGTTTTCGATGGGGGCTCTCTCATTGCCACGTGGTCCAAACGGGCAACGCATCGCACGTGGCTTGCCGATCAGCTTTTACCAACAAGTTCAGAAGCTCTGCCTCTAGAGATGTCGAGCGTGACAATCGAGAAGAGATTGCAACTTAAAGCACTTACAGTAGAAAAGCATTGCTGCCACTTTGGAGTAATCTGTGCCACATGCAGCAAGCCTATCCTCATCTCACCAGGTAAAATGTTTTCATTAGAATCGTGCTGGTTAATAAAAAAAAATAATTAAACCTTGTTCGGAAAATCAATATGAAGGATAAACATACTCTTAGGTTTTTTTCGGTAAAGTCACGTAGGAATAAATAAATAATAAAATCTAAGAACGATTTATTATTTTATTTCTATTATTATTATTTTTATTATGTATTTTAATTATTTATTTATTTTTGCCTATGTGACTTTACCGAAAAAACCTAAGAGTATGAATCCTTGTAGTCACGAAAGCCTCAAATCTAGAATTAAGGATAAACATGTTACATTTATTTATATCGTTTTTTATGTATTTATTTCTACTGTCATCGCAAATGGTCCTGGAAACCCTCAATCCCTCTTCAGTTCCAATCAACTCCCTCTGGCTTTTATGGAACTCAGTTTCCTCATTTACACCATCAGTGGCCAAGTACGAAACACTCTGGCCCTGTTTCCATGGAAAAGTCAGGAAAATCACGAATGGCATCGTGGTGTCTCACTCTGCTCCTCCTATTGCCTTTCCCGTCTCGAAATCACATACCCTTGACATCTGTTCACATTTCATCATAAATATCACACAAAAAAACACAACCCAACAAAAACTTCATCCATCCTCAGTAATGTATCTACCAAACGCATCCCTCACCCACCCTGGCCCCGTATATCACCAGCTTTGTCAATGCCTCCATCTCATCTGTGTATATTCCCCCAGCTCCCAAGCCTGCTGCTGCTATTCCCAACCTGATATAAAACCACACTGGATGCCAACATCATTGCCAATTTCCACCCCGTCTCAAAACCTGACTTTTCTTGAAAAAGTGTCGGATAGGGTTTTCTTTCATATCTCTCTAAACGCCTCTCCTCCCGAGGTCCCCACGACTCGGGGAACTCTGCTTTCACCAAGGTGATTTTCCAGAGACGGTTCTCCTACATGTGGTAAGCGGACGTCTTCTTTCCTCGGACCGTGGATCATTCTCACTGCTAGTCCTTCAAGACCATTTCTTCAGCTTTTTAAATCCTTTATATTAAGTTCGCTTGCTTGCGTGCTTGCTTGCTTGCGTGCGTGCTTGCTTGCTTGCTTACGAGCGTGCAAACCTTTCGGTCGTTTTTTAACCCACTTCCCGTGATCCAATAGAGCTGACATTTTGCACACAGACTCGTTGTGCGAGACAATTAATGTTCGTGAAATTTTTTTTCTCCAAAATTTTACACTGTTTAGGGAAAACAAATTAAATATTTAATTACCAATTGTTTAATACTGCAGACAATCATCTGACCCATAGGTGGCAGCCATCTCAAGCCAGAGGACGAGAGGACTCTCGCCGCCACGCATATAAAGGATTTAGAGTGAAAAACTTTGTTTTTACGGGTTATACTTATTACATCATGGACTGCTCCATCCTCGTTGAGTGTCTCCACACAACAATGCAGGCATCTCTGACACACTTCGTCTCCTGGGTCCATTCTCGCCTCTCAAACGGCTACTTCTACATTTTCATACGAATACTGTCTTCCTACTCTTTGGTTCTTTCGGTAAAGTCACGTAGGTAGAAAAATAATAGATCACGACGTTTTGATCGCAACACACAAGCAATCGTCATCAGGTGGGACAACCGCAGCAAGAAAAAACTGCTGAAGTAGGCGATTGTTTCGTGTGTTGCGATCGAAACGTCGTGATCTATTATTTTTTTTACCTACGTGACTTTACCGAAAGAACCAAAGAGTATGGATTCCTACAGTTACGAAAGCTTCAAATCAACTGTCTTCCTCTCTAAAATCCCTGTGCTTATGCATCCACGCAAGACTCCATCCTAGGCCCCCTGCTCATATCAGTATATCGCCTCCCACTTGGCAAGATCCTATCCAGTTTTAATGTCGGCTCTCACTTGCATTGGTAATTGTAATCTGTACATCTAACTCCACGTATCGGACTTCACTGTCCACTCTCACATTCTGCTTTGACATGGTCTCGTGTTGAATATGTTCTAACGTTCTCCAAATAAACGTTGCCGAATTGATGTCCTCCTCATCGGACAAAAAGGTTCACTTTCAGTGGACTCCAGTTTTAGTGCGCACCTCTCAAATTATTGACATTAAATTGGCAAAGAGTGCAGAGCCTTGGAGTTGTTATAGATCCTGAGCTGCTATTATCCTCATTCCACATATCTCAACTCCCCAGGATCTCACGTATCTATTTGCGTCACCTCTCCGGCACCCACTATTTATTTCCTTAACCCAGCTAGCGCCGAGACCCGACCCCCGTCACGTGACTGATCTCCAAACTCCACACGATCTACAATATTACTGCCAGGCTCCTCGCTATAATCTGCAAGTGAGACGTCACACGTATATTCTAATCACCCCACCGGCTCCTAAAGCAGTACTGGATCAATTTCAAGATCACACTCAACATTTCTTTGGGCTCGCTCCCTACCTACCTCGACCGTTGCGTCTCACACCCCTCTCTTCCACACACGCACTGCTCCAGTCACCAATGTTTTCTGTCAAATCCCCCCGTGAACCATCACTCAGTGGGAAGTTGCTCACTGTCCTCCGCTACCCCCATAGTCTGCAACTCTCTTTCTCAGGACGTCCGTTCTATCGATTCCCTACCCCTGTTCAAGTCCAGGCTCAAAATCATCCTCTGTTTCCTCTGCCTATGACTGACTTCCTCTTTACCTCGACACAATAAACACACCCACTTGTTCTGTCCAGCACCTCGAGATGCAGTTGCATTTTGATGATAAAATACATAGATAAACGTTGCCTTTCATTGTGTTCTTCCGAAGAGACCCACCCTGCTCACAAACGGGAAACAACATGAACACGTGCTCGATATATGAACGAATAAATGCATTCGGGATGCAGTGAATAAGTTCGAAGTTTAAATAGGCTACACTTGACAAAATTCCATTCAATAATAGACGGTTATAATCAGGGTGCTAATGTAAACAGAAATCATTAATTGCAGTACAGTACACGAGACAAGCAGTGGCTGATTGGGAGAAACACATCCATCCATCCATAAGGCGTAAATAAATAAATGTGTCGTTAAAACCCGCCACCACCCGACACAGCCAACTAGTAAGGGTTGGCACGTAAACAGAACATGCCAAAAACCTCTTATGGATGATATTGGTCGCGAAAGCCTCCGTGTTAAACTGTTAAACATCCATCCATCTTGGAAAACATATTTGAATAAAAAACAGCAAGTTTAAAATTCGAATACACTGCCGGTATTTCTACTGATTATTTTATGGAAATCCAGCGTATCTCCAAGAGGGCCTTGCAAGACAATGCTAGTTGTCTCCAAATCACAAGTAAGATTGCACTCTTTATTCATTTCAAGAGCTAGTGTTTTACGACGAATATTCTGAATGGCTATTTTGGCAAAAAAACTTTAAATTGGCTCAAGTTTTTGTTTGCCATTTGTCAACATGCACTTGGATTTAATTGAGGCTGGGTGGGTAAAAGTGTGTCGAGGTGTGAAAAAGTCACTTTAGATTTGACAGGCTGCACATGCAGTTGGACACAGACGATACAGTTAAAAAGGGGGAAAATGTCAGATACTTTCTCAGAAAAGGTCCACTTTGTGATGTTAATACTTCCACTACCTATACCATTCAGATTAATGTACTCTGTTATTAATGTGATGGAATGTAATGTTATTATAAACCAATGTGGACGTATGTTGTTTACCATGTTTTAATCTATTAACACCCTATGGAAAAAAGCTACAATTTCTTAAACACCCGTAAATGCAACAAAAATACTACATTTGCAACATTCTTGGTAATTTTATTTATGTCAGTACATGCAGATATTCTGCTTTTTAAAATGGATGTTGAATGGAGTTAGGATAAATCAAATACAGTATTACAATATGTCATGGATTATACTAGGTTAGTAATAACCTGGAATACATTCTGAAGGAACTAAAATACTGCACAAATACTTAGGAACAATTCTGTAGATATGGAGTTCAGCAATATTAAAAATGAGCACTACGTCGGCAACATCCAGTCACCATTCTGTTCTTGCGCATGGCATTGTGTTTGGGAGCTAAATGCCAAATGTCGAAGTCTGCTCGCCACGACAAGAAGGCTTCAGGAGAGAGTTCGTGTCGTTTTGCTTTTCCTCCGTTGAAGTCGCGCAGACTACTGTGGGTTTGATAATTGATTTTTTACCCTTTTATCTGGCAACAAAACTGACACCTTTTTTTACAAGGAGTCATGTTTGCATAGACCACAATACCTGCAGTCATAATGCAAACAAAAAACATAACTCTGATAATGTATGCACGGTCCTTGAAGTTGATTGGTCCACACCCGAGAGACAGCTTTCCTTAGAGCCTAGTCTCACTAGGCGCAGTGCGCCTTTTGGCGTCATCTGGTCCAACCCATGTGAGACTAAGCTCTAAGGAAAGCTGTCTCAGGTGTGGACCAATCAACTTCAAGGACAGTGCATACATGATCAGAGTTATGTTTTTTGTTTGCATTATAACTGCAGGTATTGTGGTCTATGTAAACATTACTCCTTGTAAAAAAAGGTGTCAGTTTTGTTGCCAGATAAAAGGGTAAAAAAATAATTATCATATTTTTTATTGGCAAATGAGGTTCCAATGGTGTAAATACTGTGGGTTTCTATATGGCCCATAGTTTCGGTTGCATGGCCACACTCGCACTGTGGTTCATCTTTTATTTCCCGTTCATGAAGGACATACCCGGTTACCATCATTAACACTGTTTTGCTACATTACGTCATCCAGTCGGGTCTTTGCTTAGATGTCTTCAACACACTTCCTTGTGGCTTGAAGCTATTTTTAGTTTTAATGACTTTTTGACAATTCAGGTCCCATAACAATGCATTCCAGGTCATGTATTGCACACAACCACAACTCTATATATTTATATTTGGACAAACGTTTTAAGTGTATCTTTGTTACATACATTTTATTGAAGAAAACCTTACGTTATTTTCGAGATGTTTGCTCCCATATCCCAATGACCAATGACATCTTGATTTGACTGTTTATCATGAGTCGCTTTCTGGAGAGGCTTGTGAGACAGGCAGGAGAACTCGAACACGATGATCGACATTCAAAGTGTTGTGTTGTTTGGTAAACTTGTGAAACGCAGACAGGGGAAACACGTTGTTACTTGGTAAAGGAAGCAAGGACAAACGAGTGACATTCATCTACTAAAGTTATTGAAAATGTTTTCTTCAGGTTGTTTTCTAGACATACACATTTTAAAAAAGTAACAGTAAATATTTTGCCCTTTTTAATGATCACGCATTTTGCCGCGCCCACTCCCAGGTTATGGGTTTCTACTTGAGAAAGCACTTCCACATGCGCTTAGAGCACATCCACAACCCGGTTGCCGCAGATGGCCCCCGCACTCTGGCGTGTGTCTGCGCCGTGTTTGTACCTGTGACATGAGATCACGGGCTCACCAAAGCCATGTGATGGGGGCCCTTTTGCTTACCAGGAACAAAAAATCAAGCGAAGCATCGTTGTACGCTGACGTTATGGGTAACACCGTGTTAAATGTAGCGCACACCATGCCGACATTTCTAGATATGTCGTTGAGCTACAGGCAACGCGAAGCATTGGCCCAAACCAAGATAGAAGCCAAACGTAGTCTTTGTGTTAGCCCAGGTGTGTTGTTTAATTATAGTCGTTCTTCTTCCCACTTGACCAATGCGGCTCCGTGCTGTAACGCTGCTCTGCGGCCGCGTCCTCCAAGGGCAACGGAGACGTGTAGTAATCCAAGAGGGTGCTCTTTCCGAAGTGATCAGACCTTGCTTCCGTGTCCTCGCCGTGCAAGTGCCGGCGCTCCGTTCGAGTCCCGGCGGACGTCTCTGCGGCGCTGGGCGGGCCGACTACCGGCGGCGCGGCGCGGGACGTCTCCCCGCGACCGTCGGTGACCGGCGCGCTCGGCAGGACGGTGCTCACGACGCCGACCGGTGCCGCCGCGGTGGCTTTGGGGACGACCGCCCCGTCCGCCGGGACGTTGACGGGCTTCCAGAAGATGCAGTAGTAAACGGCCAGCACGATCGCAGCCGACGAGACGGAGAGGACGTAGGCGAAAACCGTCGCCAGCCGCACCCACTTGCGATTCGTCTTGGCGGCGAGTTTGGCTTTCTTGTCGCCCGTGTAGGTGGGGGCCTTGCCTGGCCGCTCGCCGGCGGGCCGAGAGCCCATGGCGTCGCGCTCGTTCATCGGTGGGTTTCGCAGCGCCACTCTGAGATGTGTCTCGATTCCCTTTGCGCCACGGGTTTATGCCCCCCCCCGCCCGCCGCCCCTAGACTGGGCAGCACCGATGACCTCTCCGCGCACACAATTCTCTCTCCTGTGCAAGTGAGAATTTAAAGAAAAAAAGAAAACTTTGTTGTTGGTGAACTTTGACATGGGTTCACTGCACATTACACGGCTGGCAGCCTTTGAATATCATTGTTCCCCCATGAGACTGTATAATGGCACTTGCTTTGACAGTTTTGAGATGTGGCAGTTCGGGCCGTATCCCATAAATATGAATTATTTCACGCTAGATGAAGTACTGCCGATATAATAATGCAGATTGTTTAATTGCATAGATATAATGTACAGTACACGTGCAGCCCTTTGTCAACCCACTGCTATAGGATAGTCACCCTACGCCACGTGGGTCATCGGGGTCGATTGGCCATACTTCTCCACGCTGGTCAGTGCAGTGCGGAGAAGGCAGCGAGCGAGGATTGAGGCGAGGACATAGAAGTACAGTCGAACGATTGACTTTTGTTCACTTTACATACAGTATTGCATATTCGTCTTTAAATACAGATATATAAAAAAAACTATAGCATTGAAATTAACTTGTATTCATGAGCTGTTTAAAAGTTGGATAGATTTAGCAGTTAACTGAGAATGCAAAACAATTACATTCCTAAAGACTGTCCATGTATATCCGCACAGAGCCAAGGCGTGCATTGAGCGTCGATTGAACAATGCTGGACCGAGCGATCTCAGTGCAAGTTATTTGCTACGCCATCCACACGGCATACATACAGTACAGCTGAGTATAAGCCACAGCAGAAGACAAATGGACAATAAAAATCAATTTGACACAGACGTGCGCGTACCCGGCATGCTATCTAGCCACATGGCACGTCCACGTTATTTACCGTACATCACATACACACCACCGCTTGTGTTTGTGTTGTTGTTGTTACCTTCAAAGGGATATTTCGCCTTTCATTTCCGCGAATCTTGACCTTAGACGAGACTGCTGGGCCCGCGAAGCTTCCACAACTGGCTGAGCTCCTCGTCAAGTTGAGACGCAGGCCACCGCCGCCAAGGCAGCGGCATTGTCGTTCAGCATGAGGCTCCCCTGCGCCCGTGCTGGCACCGTAGCGCCTGCTGTCCGAGGTGCTGAATCTGTGGGCGGGACTCTGAGCAGGTCGTACGGGCCCCGTTTATTCGGGAGCCAGTCCCGTTGCGTTGTGACGCACGACTACGGGCGGCCGAAACGGCTGGAAAGAAATCTGCAGCTGATACAGTGCGACTCGAGCATCAGGGCCGCCTTGCTGGCAATTTCCTCTTGTCACCGCTTGCCATATCTTACCGTAAGTATTGTAACGAAAGCGCACTCGTCCCCCCCCCCCCCCTCCCGCCGTCGCCGCCCCAACACGCATAGCAGCTGCAGCTGCAGTAGCAGCTTCAGCAATGTGGCAGCCAGTTTATTACAGTAGTTGGGCAGTCGTGGTGGTTGGTGTGGGTTGTCATCGAACCGCTGCTGCAATTCCCACGGGAAGGTTTCAGGGCTGGTCTGCTCCCCCATCCCTCTCCCCCATCCCTCTCCGCCTCAGCTTGTGAGATGCTAAAATAAACACGCAGTTTCAGATTGCGGTTACATTCCGGCAAGAATTGCTGGGTTTTTTTCCGGGTGTACAACGCCGCATGCCATGTGTGGTAACGAGCTGAGCACTGTGTAGGTGCACAACTGTGTTTCACTCTGTTAATCCCTGCGTCTTTTAATCGTAAGCTACAGAAAACGAATTGGTTTGTTGTACAAAGATATCTCCCATGATATTAGTTCTCGTTTGACGGCAGAAAGATTTGCCTTGCGATTATAATTAACTGTTTAATACTCTTTTTGTCATATTGTCATTGTGTTAAATTTTCTCAAGAGGTAAATTAAATAGTATCAAATACATTTGCCACGGTTTTTAGGATGGAATTATTTATAACACCGATAACAGCTTGTACGATGCTTGTCCAATCTGATTTAAACATAACCCATTTGATAATTAACACATCTTAATTGTTTTCTGTTTATGTCTTATGTTTAGCGAAGTTTAAATTTTAAAATAAATGTAAAGTTACTTCTTTTAAAACCATAAACCAAATTACATTTCAGATGAAGAGAAACATGTACCAGAGGGATAATGCTTGAAAAATGTAACACTGCCCTTTGTAGTATTAAGAAATGAAAGCTCCTGGACAATTTTGGAATAACTGTGGACACCAACAAAGAATTGACCAGCTTTTTGGAAAAAAAATTGCGGACATATTTACTAGACGTTTGGATATAAATGCAATACCTCAATCATGTAATAATCTCCCATTCTTCTTCAACAATGGAGGTAAACTAACTTGAACAATTACAGAATCACTCGTCTCCTATATAAATTGTTCACGGAGATCATTTGGGAACAATGAATGGGCAATTTACTGGCCAATGAGCCACGTGAGTAAGCCGAAGTAATGTTTCCCACATATATACTATCAATCAGACTATGATACTTTATTTGATTGAGTATAAATTGATGAAGTAATCAGAGCTGTCACAAACCGATTCTTAAAGAAAAAATAATCTAGAAAGGCTTGACAAAATGGATTTATATAATGGAACACGAAGATTGCCTAAAGTAACATTACATATCAGAACGAGAGTCAGGCAAAAGGAATCAGATTGAAAAAAAAGAAATACGGTAAATATGAATGATCAACCATCTTAGTTTTGCTGGTGACACCGTCGTTATAATTACAAATGGAAATATAATTATAGAGACTGAAACACGTAATAAAGAAACTGCAAGTTCAGCTCAAGATAAACACAAGTAAAATTAAAATCAGGTGTAAGAAGTTCGATAACCAAATGGGCACATGTTGCTAACGGTGACACCACTGGAAGCCACATCCTAGTATCTATACCTCGGGCAATTACTAGCGGACTGGGTTCAAAGGATGAAATTAAGCCGGAGTGAGAACAGGGTTGAGTGCTTTTGGAAAATAGAACTTGATAATGACAAAATACCTTAGTGTGCCTACAGGATAAAGGTTGCAATCAGCTGGAAATACGGACATCGACAATTATAATGGAAGAAAAGCTGACAAATACGCAAGGATGCACGTCAATGCTTGGAATTAGACTGTTAGACAGGCAAGAAACACGTGGATGAGAGAACAAATGCAACGTTGAGGTCTCTTGTTGACTTAAGAAAAGTGTGATCGGGCAGGACACGTAACTCGACGGGGTGATGGACAACAGTCAGGACTGACAACGGAGTGGCAACCGAAGCAGAGAGCACGCACGACTCAGAGGACGGACACCGCAGAGAGGGGGTGACGAAATCATCTCTGGTGTGTGACAGATAGACGGATTGTGTGACCACGAGGTCGTGTGAGATGGTCATTTATACATGATGACTGTACTGAACTCAGGGCACACTGCTGTTAATGTCCAACCCATCACTATGAAACAAGCTATCCCAAAAAATATTTTCGTGAACATTTACGTCCAATGAAGAGCTTTGCCTCTGATGGAGTCATGTGAATATGCACAATAATTATCAATTAACGAATCGATTACAACAGATATAACGGACACGATGCATGCATGAAATTCTGCGCATCAGATTCTGATAGTGCTCTTAATTTCAGAAAATTATATTCATAACTCAATGTTACTCATGATAAATTCAATCTGGAACGCAACACAGTATCCACCTGCTCGCAGAGATACCGACTCGGAGACGTGAGGAATCACAGACAAACAGGAACGCAGCCACGCGATGAGCAGGTTGCCAAACTTGCCCAAGTTCTGTGTTTCTCTATATATCAAGGTGTTTGTCGGCCATTTAATGGGTGTTTCACATGTGGGCGGAAACTGGAGCATCTGGAGAACACACACGCGTGCGAGAGGGAAACACTCGAGCCCATACAGACGGACCAGGTGGATATTCTTAGTTTTTTTCCGTAAAGTCACGTAGGTAAAAAAATTACATTAATAAAAATAAAATAAAAATAAAATAAAAATCACGACGCTTCGGAGGCAACACAAGCTTCCGTCTTCAGGTGGAGCAGTCACAGCACGATAGCTGTATCAATACAGCTATCGTGCTGTGACTGTATCAATACAGCTATCGTGCTGTGACTGTATCAATACAGCTATCGTGCTGTGACTGTTCCACCTGAAGACGGAAGCTTGTGTTGCCTCCGAAACGTCGTGATTTTTATTTTATTTTTATTTGACTTTTATTAATTGTAATTTTTTACCTACGTGACTTTACCGAAAAAAACCCAAGAATATGAATCCTTGCAGTCACGAAAGCTTAAAATCTGGAGCAGGTGGAGTCCACATTGTAGCTGTACCGCCGTCTCCTGGCGAACCAGGGTTAAGACAACTTCCTCGATGCCCGCGAGCAGAGAGAGTTTCTCAACATCTGTGCGACCCAAAAGCCCCTTGCCTCCACAGTGCTGGGTCACCGGGCTGACATGAGTCAGGGCGTCACGACGGCGAGATGGAGGTCGTGGGTCCGATCCCGCCTGCTGTATATTTGGAGTTTGCATGTTCTCTCTCTCTCTGCCCGTGGCTCGTATGGATTTTTCTTCGGGTCCTCTGGTTCCCCCCCCCCCCCTACATTTATAATCAACATGCTTTTAGAGTATTTGGCTGCTATAAGCTTCCACCCGATAAACCACTTAATTGAGCTTTCATTTTTGACCAACAAATAGTTTTATAGCTCAGTGGGCCTTACCTGGTAAAATAAAAAGTTGAGTTTTAGGGAACGAGACTGAACTCAAGGACAGAAACAAAAGTCGAGGAAATATAAATGAGCGAGTGAAAACGAGACAATAGGAATGCATCATTGAATCGAGTCATTGGAGTGGAGAGAGGAGGCGGGGTTACACGCCTCACAACACCGCGCAGGGCGATAAATCTATGATGTTAAATGTGAATTCGTCAAATTACCCGATGCAGTACTGCCATCTGCCGACCCGATTACGGAACGGAATTTCAAAATCAGTGTCGTTTACATCAGTACCATTAACCACAATACTTGTGGTCAGAATAAAAACAAAAAGCATACTCTGGTAATATGATGCATTGGCTTAAAATTGATTGGTCAACACCAGAGATAGCTTTCTTTCGAGCCTAGTCTCAAACGGTGTTAAATGCAGACATGAATTCTTGTGAAAGGTTTCAGTTTGCTGTTTTAACATCTTAACACCTGTTTTGTTGTCAGAAAAAAGGGGTAAAACCTATTCTCAATGTGTAATTCGCTAAAATTCAGCCGATCCATTTATAGACACCCCACTAAACAGTGGCAGCGGGATTGCACGCAGAAATTGTTAAATTTTATTTCAAAGCCTCCACCTGTTTCTCACCTATATATACACACACACACAGTATACCTGATACATATTGGAACACTCCGTGTAAAATATGGAGCCGTTGCGTTCACAATACAGTCGTGAAGCATCTGTCGCGAAGCAAGTAAGAGGGCCGTAATAAACCAATGGGGTATCTATAAACGGATCACCCATTTCATTGGCAAATTGTCTTAATGTGTCACTACAGTAACAGCGGAATGTAAACCACTGTTAGTTAATGTTTTAACATCAATTGGATGTCTTCGGTTAGGTATTATTTGGCTAAAGTTATATATATATGTTGTTTTAATACTGTAAGTAATTATATTAATGAGCGAGTGGTGACGCAGTGGTTAGCGAACCTGAGTTCTATTTCCCGAGTATGGCAGCGGCTCAGGCGAACTCACTTCAGTAGCGAGTGATCGGCCACCACCCCGCACTGACCAGGGCGGTGAAGTATGGTCAAAACAAATCACCAGCACCAACACGGCGTGGGGAAGCCTTCGTCCGGCAGCGGACTGACACACGTTTACATTTGTAAATCTGCGTCTGACAATTGTAGCCGCAGCAATTGACTCGATTTATTATTTTTTGTTACATTGCAAGATTGGCCGTGTGTCATCTGCCTTTTAATCGACTGCATGTATTCCAGAGCCTCGCCAATTCACTGCAAACCACAGGGTGGCACGTGTGCAGTGAGCCCACTGATTTCTGGTGACCCTCTTTCGAGATGCTTCTCAGCAGGTGATTGAATATCGTGAGCGCGGTGGATTCATGTCTCACAGAGGAGACCGGTAACAGATGTAATGAGTGTGTCGGTTTTGGTGGGAGGAGGCATGTAGAGTGGCTTTGAATTCAACTGTGCCTCTTCTCTCGATATAATTTCTCCCTATGACAATGGCACAGTATGTTCGTGGGGCACCTATGCGACGCG